AAAAATAGTGATGTAGATTAGAAAATAATTCGGAAGGTCCTAGGTAGCTGTCATTACATCACTCTCCTCAGCAATCTACGGTATTGATCAGATTAAAAAATAATAAAATCTTTGGGCGTAGCGTAACCTGACTAAATATATAAATACTATGCCCAACGATTTTATTATTTTTTATCTGATCAATACCGTAGATTGCTGCAGAAAGTGGTGTGATGACTGCTACCCAGGACCATCCCAATTATTTTTGTGCCTCAGTATTACAGGGTAATATGTGATTATTTGATACCCATATTGAGTTAGTTGTGAAGCAATATGTAATCCGCCATTTTGTAGCTGCGGCTGTCTTGAATTTACAATAAAACAGATTTTATTGAATTGTATTCTCATCAAAACTAAATGTGTGTGCCAAATTTCAGATAAATCTGTCAAGTAAAAGGGGGTCAAACTTCAATTATTAAATTTGACTCAAAGAAACAAACGGGGCAAGCTAAATAAAACCGTTTAAAAAATAGAGCATTCATAAAATTATATGATTTTTTTTGTGACCTCAAGTAGTTGAACAAATATAATGTTATAATGCAGTATAAATAAAGGCTACTTAAACTAAATATATATCAAAATATTGAAAAAAGATGTGACAAATTAGGAAAAAAATTCACTTTTATGATCGAATTAAGAAAAAAAGATGACATATCAATTGATTATTATTTGTAAATAACATGAAATGAAGACAGTAAGCTAGATGATGGCTATCTCTCCGAAAGGACCCAATCAAATCACCTTGATTGTAACCAATCAACAATAATATCAAACAAAATTGGTGTACCGCAAGGTTCAGTTCTGGGACCGTTCTTTTTTGCAATTTATATTAGTGACTTCTATGAATTTGTTACTTTTGGAAAAATACAGCACTACGCCGATGATACTCAATTGTATAGTTCATTCAGCTTTAAAGATATTACACTCGCTAATGAAAATATTAACAGAAACCTTAAAACTCTATATGATGTATCCTGTGCACATAATCTTACTATCAATCCAAAGAAATCACAGGTCATGTTATTTGGTCCCAAAAGCAAAAGAAATATTGTGTGTGAGTTATTGTCGATCCATGTCAACAGTAACATAATTCCTTCTGTGAATGAATGTAAAAATCTGGGCTTGTGGTTAGATACTGACTTGAGATTCACGAAGCATGTAAGCCATCTGTGTAAAACGTCATTCAATGTATTGAGACAACTTTTTCCAAATAGACACCTTTTATCAAAAAGTCTGAAGTTGAGTCTCTGTGAAACACTTATTTTTTCAAGATTAGCTTACTAAGATTGTATCTACGGACCGGCCTTACAACAATTAGATGAAATGCGACTCCAGCATATACAAAATAGTTGTGTCAGATTTTCCTACGGTATCCGAAAGTATGATCACATAAGTCCGTCCTTTTGTTATTCTGGCTGACTTTCACTCAAATATCTGAGAGCAATCCATTTGTTTAGTTTCACGGATATAATTCTTGTTTCGGGATATCCGCCTTACTTACGTGAAAGACTGGTTGCACTATCACACAGTGGCACTTCTCGTAATAGGCAAATTCTGCTCATTCCCAGGCATTCCACAGCAATGTTTACTCGAAGTTTCTACTACAATGCGGCAAAATTGTATAACACCATCCCTACAGACTTTAAAGAAAGTTCAATGAGAAACTCTAAGAAAAGGTTGAAAGACATTTTTCTCACACGACAGTGATAGGGCATGACAAATGCAAAAAGCTTTTGGCAATTTCTCATATATCCGAATACTATAAAAAATAATAAAAATACATATCAATCGAGGTTGGGTTTAAAAGCAGCTCTCATAGGTGAACTCCGCCTGTCATCATTTCTTTGAATTTTATTTTATTTGTACTCTTTATTGTGATAAATGAAGACATATTATATTTTTTCCACCGTAGTGCGCGCTGGTAATGTCCTATCCCCCGAAGCCCTGATACATTCGGGAGGACGCGCCAGCATTATCAACCAATGACCACTCCCCACACCGTGAGGTAAGTGATAATTGGGTCCTAGAATCATGTGCCCTGAGCAAGCGCAGTGAGCCAAGAATGACAGCCTTCTGCATCTGTGCGGCTAAGATTTCTGCCTTAGTGCGGCAAGCCAGTATGATTTTAAGATTCGAGAGTAGGGAGGACAACATTCCACCAAGGACTCCAATAATCAGAACAACCATTTTGACAGAGTGTTCTGGATAGAGTCTGCGAATTTCGAAGAGAAAATCTCGATATTTTATCCGTTTTCCCTCCTCTTTTCCGACGATATTCGTCTCGCCAGGAGCTGAAAACTTCACGACAAATATCGTTTAGGTCTAGTGATCGAGAAGGACTACATCAGGCTCATTAGCTTGTATATGCCTGAGGGTGGAGATCGAATAGTTACAATAAATTCGGCACTTCTCGTTCCCCACAATGGATTCAATATCCCCCGGAGCGTAGAGCAACACCGGTATCTCGTCAATACCGTAAGAGTATCGTAGATGGTAATATAGCACTCTTAGGGCCGCATTATGTCGATGGATATAGGCCGAGACCGCATATGCTGGACGTGCTGATAGCAAGTGCTTTAGGGTATCGGGCGTCTCGCGGCGCCCGAGGCCCTAATGCACTTGCACTTATTATTTGTTTAATTTTGGATTATATGGTCTTTAGCGGGTCGAAATTAATATCGCATTGACTGCAGTGGGTATTATAATAATTATCACACATCAAATTTTTAGGAGACACTTTTTCAAGGTTGGATCTAGTAAAAAGGGTATAGAAAGTGATCTGTCTACGTGTAGACGTTGAAGTTAATTCGTTCTAGTAACGAGGGTGCTTTAATGGAACATACAAAATTTTGTGTAACAACAATACTTGATGAAACTCTACGTTGATACAAGGAAGGCAGACAGAATATTTGAAGTAGTGTGGAGCTCCTCTAGCAGGATACACGCCATCAGTTCTAAATGCAAGAAACTTCAAAAAACGCCTTTGCACATATTCTAAGGTTTCCTTATGTACATTATAGAGAGAATACCAAATCAAAGTAGCATACTTTAACTTGGAGCAAACGAGAGTTGTATGAAGTATGGTTAAGGCGATAATATTGGTGAATGATTCACAGTTGCGCAGAACAAAGCCAAGCAGTTTTCTAGCCGATGCCGCGATATTATTGGTGTGGCCAACAAATATCAACCTGCTGTCGAACGTCACCCCTAGTTCTTTGACAGCTTCTTCGCGAAGAAGTATTACATCCTAGAAGGTATAAAAATACTCAATAATATTGGCATTACGTGTAAAGGAGCAAACTTTGCACTTTTTAACATTCATTGCCAATTTATTGATTTGACAGCAGCTCTCTGAACTTGTGATAGATGAAAAGATCTTCAAGTCGTCTGCAAAAAGTGAGTTGCCACAAGAAAGCTCGGAGGTGAGATCATTTCTGGAGATGAGGAAAAGCGGGGGTCCCAAATTGGAGCCTTGTGGCACACCAGATAGTGATAGGTATGGTGCAGATGCAAATCCATTATAAAAACAACATTGGTTCTCTGATCCAAATAAGAGCGTAGAAGTTGAGTTAGTGGGAGATTTGAACCCATTTGCTATTTTCTATAGTAAGATGGAGTAACTAATTCTGTCGAAGGCCTTTGCAAAATCTGTGTAATAACGTCAACCTGTCATTTTCTGTCAAGCTGTCTTCTATTAAAAACTGCTTGATACTGCAGAGATTCGATACAGTGGATTTATTTGCTGAAAAGTTATGAAGATCTGCAGAGATCAGGGGGTTGATTTGCGGCATTAGTTGGTGATACACATATATCTCAAAGGCCTTCGCGAAGTTACACAAAATATATATTGTTCTATAGTTCTCAATATTCTCTGTGTTTCCTGATTTGAATTGATCAAGAAACTAAAGCTGAACAAAAAACTCCATATTAGTTTTGTTATAGTACAGGAGTTGAGTATGGTGCAGATGCAAATCCATTATAAAAACAACATTGGTTCCCTGATCCCAATAAGAGCGTAGAAGTTGAGTTAGTGGGAGATTTGAACCCATATGCTATTTTCTCTAGTAAGATGGAATGACTAATTCTGTCGAACGCCTTTGCAAAATCTGTGTAATAACGTCAACCTGGCATTTTCTGTCAAGCTGTCTTCTATCAAAAACTGCTCGATACTGCAGATATTCGATACAGTAGATTTATTTGCTGAAAAGTTATGAAGATCTGCAGAGATCAGGGGGTTGACTTGCGGCATTAGTGATACACATATATCCCAAAGACCTTCGCGAAGTTACACAAAATATATATTGGTCTATAGTTCTCAATATTCTCTGTGTTTCCTGATTTGAATCGATCAAGAAACTAAAGCAGAACAAAAAACTCCATATTAGTTTTGTTATAGTACAGGAGTTGTTGAATAATAATATTGAGAATCTTTCTCCTGGAAATGTTAAAATTGCTTGAAGAACTGCCTAGAAAAGGTCATTATACATCAATAGTTAATACTACAAATTTGGAAGCATATTATTAGTATTCAATTATAGTTTGAAAAATCATATGAAATTGAGTTGAAACTACTATCTGGTCTGCGATCTACGTTCAGTCATAGTATTCACATAACTGGTAACTGATAGTTTCAAAGAATTATTTGTAAGGTATAAAATTGAAATCACTTTCATTCAGTCTATATTTGTTGGCAGTGTTTGGCGCCAAAAGTTTTCAAGCTCGTCAATTCTGTTTTTCTCCACAGAGTGAATGGCTTGTTCCCTATCATATGATTTCATTTCAGATGGTTCTATTTTTCGTCAAACCTGACACAATTTTTGTGGAAAAGTTTCACCAGTGTCAATGTATTTTATACTCACATTATTGTATGATCATTTTCATTTCACTATAACACCAGTTATTCCTGTTTAAAACACATATTTGCATGAATATGATTGTTGTAGTTTTTCAACTTTCCAATGTTTTATTCAATCAGGAATTGTACATGGTATCCTCGTCAGAATTAGATCACTACTAATACTATAAATGTAGCATAATCTTTTTTTCGTAATATCTTACCCATTATATGTAGATACCATCAGACGTATATCGCAATTCAAAACACTTACCTTGTAAAAGGGATTTGTTTTGTCAGAAAACAATGAAGCGACCTTAATTTTTTTTTCATATTATTCTTTTTTGCTTTATCCTAGCAGTAAGTCGTCACAAAGATGTGTAGATCATGCACAGAAGTTTCCTTCAGATACAGAAAGATAAAATCTGTCCTATCCGAAACATTTATTTTTCGATTATGAATATTAAATCACACCAAAATTTGAGTGTTGAATATTGACACACAGAGAGTATGTTTCAATGTATACAATAATCTACATCTCAAGTTTGGTTTCGAGGGAAACAAAATATTACAAGCAACATCAGATTTGACCGAAACTCCTTTCTCAAGTGTACGTAAAATAATCAAAAACAAACCTTATGAACGCAAGATGCGATGTGATTCAGGATTACCAAAACCTTTAGATGTTCATCTGATAAAATCATTGATAAAAACAATATACGACTGTTCAAAAGCAATGAGATTCCTACAACTGAAATCATAAGGAAGAAATTCAGAATCGGATAAAGAAACTAGGATTTAGATTTAAAATAATAAACAAACTTCAAGCAATTATGGAAAGCAGAAGAATAGTGGATGGTTCGAAAATGTGTCTGCCTAACATGCCTGCCAACAAAACTTGATGAAAAGGTAATAGAGCTAATTAATGAAAAAGTATCTGATATTACGGAAGAAGACTGACAGAAAAGGATAAAAAAAGTAATTTTAGTTGAAAAAAACTATATGCAGATAGGACACTTCCATATTAACGGTGGAAATAAATGACGAATGTGATGATGAAACAAAGAATATGGAAGAGGAATTATCAGAAGAAAGTTAGTGAAGTGTTTTTGAAGCGATCGATTAGTGTAATTCATTGTGTGTTTTGTGTTGATGACATGTTCAACCAATGCACAGGTAGCTTTGTTCATATTACAATCACTTTTATGTGACGTTATACGTCCTGATAAAATTCTAGATGTTTGACCAACATATGTCTTATCACATGTATGACAAGGAATTTCATATACTACATTCAATTTTCACTGGAAGCAGTGACAGATAAAAACTTCAAACTGATGTTCGAAAATAAAAGTGCTAAAGTTTTTGTGGAGAAACTCTAGCTGCTTTTCGTGTAAAACGATCAAACCTTTATTATGGAATGATCTTTGAAAAGTCAATATTCGAACAAGTCAACGTAGCTGCATTAAATCAAGCTCAGTTATAGCAGTTATGACAAAAATGAAAAGATCTGAAAATCTGTTTCGNTATTATTATTTATGGGGTTAACTAAATTATTTGAAACAGTAGTCACTGTGGAAAAAGAGTTGAAAAGTAATTTATTCAAAAGTTTGCGAGGATATGAATTTTCAAGGAGAATACCTTTTAGTTCTTTGATACAATCATCTTTGAATAGTGGATATGTCAGATTGATCACCCTGTTTTTCATGGTGAGGACTAAATTTATTTTCATCTTTGTAGGATGGTATGAATGGTAGTTCAGTAACCTGTTGCTTGCGCATGGTTTTCTGTACCATCTTGTTCGTAGAACGTAGAACTACCATTCATACCATCCTACAAAGATGAAAATAAATTTAGTCCTCACCATGAAACACAGGGTGATCAATCTGACACATCCACTATTCAAAGTTTCATAGTCAGTGGTTTGCTCACCAAAAAATATTTGAGCTGAATTGCATTTGACAGAAATTAAATCTGTTGTTGTTATATTGAAATACAATAAACTTGCATTACACCATCGCTTTACTTTTCCCAAATCATGTTAATTATTCGTTTGTAGTGAATCAACTTTGCTGTTACTCCATAGTAGAGATGTATCATAAGCAGATATTGTGAATTTATTTTCTATAGAAATATCAACCTGGTCAAAAATATACAATGAAAAGAGAGAAAGGCTGAGGACAAATCCTTGAGGTACACAACTTTCAAGTTTTGTTTTGTCTTTGTCTCTTTGAGGTTCACCTTGTGAACACAGTCTGATGAATATGAGGAAACATTACATAATCGCATCTGTTTTTCCTTTGCGTCAAACAATACCCGGATCATCATATTAAAGGCTATCATTTTATAGAAAACCTTTCACCTCGAGTCGCATATTGCGTACAATCCTCGGACTTTACTTTTTGTCACGGATGTATGGACGACTTTGATACCTGACGCCCGCTGTTTTTCTGTCTAATATATCAAAGCGAACGGGAAAGTAAAAACACGATTCAGTGTATCAGAAAAAGTTGTCGCTTTCAGTGCAACGTCCCTCTCCGCCTAACTGAATTATTATCCTTTCTCGTGAAAGTTTTGCCATTTACTCCTGGCTAGTTCTCCCTCACAAGAATGGTCGCGTATATTTTAATTTCTGTCATTCTCCAACTCGTTAACGAAATGTTTTGTTCGAGTCAAAAGTAATCAAAATAGAAATCCGGAAAACTTTTCCCCCGAAATTAACATTTAGCTGTGAGTGGCCCTATGTTCATTTTGATAAACGAAACTCTAAATGGAGGGGGGAAAGGATAGAAAGAGCAGATTGAACGGAATCGTATCGCATCCTGATTGAAAGCTTCGTCTCTCGTAGAATTCTGCCAACAAGGACATTTACATTATCTATTGTGACAGTGAAGGAAACATCAAGATTATTACACCAATGCGACTAAGGATCAAAAACTACAGAGTGTTTCACAACTGTGCAGTGTTCATCTACTGTAATACATACGGATTTTATGAAGTGTGATCTTGATGTCATTTCGTGTTGATTTGTAGCGGGACAAACCTATCTCTTTTATATAGCTATCAAACCTGCATTCCTTCAAAAAAAAATGTTAAAAAACTGTTACATGCCAATACATTTTATTCCCTTAATGAATACTTCCAGGCTGATTTGGAAATATGAATCACTTGATTGCAACAGTTTCGACTGTACTATTTTCAACTGTCATATTTTCAGACTTATTTTCAATTGTATATTACAATGTATTTATATTCTCAACTTCCATGTTGAATAGTATTAGTGTTCAAACTCAACTGTTCATATTTTTTCATAATTCTGAACAACTGAAAAGATGATTGTAAAAATATATGTATAAAACGTTACAGATATAACTTACTCAATATGAGATTAATATAAAAAATTAGCAGCAAAAGTTTCTTTTTTTATTTTTTTCGTTCCTATCGAAAATTACAAAATATACCTTTCAATTCACCTTTCAAAATACGGGACCCTCACAGACTATATTGAACTTGAATGACCGTCGATTAAAAGTAGTTTGCAGGTGCCTTGTGAATTCACTTAAACAAACCAGATTTAACCTTCCTTCCTACCCCATCCTTCCTTTCCTTTCCTGGCAAGACACGACTCTCACCTCACCGTTGGTTCTTGCTGGACAATAAAATTTACTTTCAGACCTGTTTTTATAAGAATAATTAAGTACTTGTGCTTATAAAATATTTGTAGCAATTTCTTACAAAACTGTTATATTAGAAGATAAAAGTATTATTTATTGACTGAGAAGAGTTCATTTATATTAGAAATAACTCGAAGACAACCTTTTTTCCATGTTTTTTTACCGGTCAGTTTTATACGTATAATTTTCGGCAATACACAATTTTTGTTTGCATTCATACAAATATTACGTATTTTGCTTTAAATAGGTGCGGTACCCCAAAAAATGTTCGCGCTCCCGGCGGACTTTTCTGTGTGTATATAGTCTTTATGACTTTAGCCTCCCCTGTTCTCCAATGCACGAGCAGTCACTGGTAGAGACCAACTACCCTAATATAAACTGACATTATTTGCATTCGACGGGTGTTTCGCTTACAGCGATGTTGCCAAACCCTTCTCTGCTCTAATATGGGTGCAGTTTTTATCAGATGGCAGCATTTGACGGGTGAAAATTCATTGAATTAGGAAAACACGTTTTATAGATCAGTCAAACATTATTCCATATTTTATTTCGTAAAGAAGTTGACTATATTTAATCGTATAATTTCGCTATCTCAAAAATTTTGAAATTCGCCAAAAAAGTTGAAAACATTTTTTGAAAAATAAATGGAAAAAAATGAGTTAGCGACATTCTTCGTTACATAATCCATAACTTTCCCCTATACATATTTTTTATATAACATCTTATTTCTTCACTAAGTGTTTTCGCGATTTTCAATATGGCGCTGCCACTCCATAGGCCTCTTAATACCCATATTGAGGTAGTTGTGTAAAAATATGTAGTCCGCTATTTTGTATCTGCGGCCATCTTGGATTTAAAATTATACAGATTTCATTTAATTGTATTGGCCTCGAAACTTAATGTATTCACCAAATATTGGATCAATCTGTCAATTACTAAATTTGATTCAAACAAACGAACAGGGTAAGTTTATTAAAACCGTTTGAAAGAACACATGATCATTGACATAAAGAGGTGAGGACACAGAGGGAGAAATCATTTGAATTGTTTCCAGCATGTATTTTTGTAACGTAAGTAAAGGGGCTATGCCGCTTCGGCCTAAAAATCCCATGCTTTTTTTATGTAGGTTCATTTTGCACTTATTCAGACCCATGAGCTGAACCTTCTTTGAGATAAGTATGCCGTGTCTAAGAGTGAGACAAACTGCAACATGCAATGACGTCAGTGTGGAGTAGAAAAATATCTAACATGGCGGTATGCCAAAAGACCACTGAGTCATATTTTATTTAATAATAGGCGGATCATGACCTGCAGCACATCAAATGAAAGGGAAAGAGCTGCAGAATTCATTGACTAAAAAAAACAAAGATTGCAGCATGCCAAAAGAACACTGACCTTAATCTTAGTCAATGATAGACGGATTGTGATGTGCTTGCTGTATATGAAATGAAAGGGATACAAAAATGATTGTGCAATTCCAAAAGAGCATCAAACCGTATCTTCGTCATTAATAGTCGGCTTATTACGTGCAGCACTTCAAATGAATAGG